GATTACTAAATTCATACTGGATGAATCCTGCATCGACATTCGCAGTGCCCATTCAAGTTGCTGCTCTTCGGTCATTTCACCCATCTCCATGTCCATTACATCAACATTCTAGAAGAAAAGGTCGCATTCACTACATAGTTTTAGAAATGTTAGAGAAAGGGTGGGAGGGGGAAGGGGGATAGAAGGGAACCTGCGCAGTTTCTGGTTCTCCTGATGCCTGAGCTTGTCCTCCATTAGCAGCAGCTGCAGCCGCTTCAGCTGCCTGCCGCGCACGTTCTTCTTCCATAGAAACGCGCAATGCCTAGATATTAGGTATGAAAAAGGAAACAATTGGCAAAATAAAGGGAAGTAAAATTACAAGAGCGAGATCAGGATCATCTTCCGGATCAACTCCAAATTCGAAGCCTCCGCCTGCTCCAACGACAGGGGCATTGCCTCCATCTTCTCCACGGCAAACGGCAGATGAAATCAAAGCTTCAGTCAAAGCTGATCCCGCTGGTACCACAACTAGGTTTGAACCACTTCCTTCTCTATGAAAGAATAGAAATACGAACAGACTCGTGCTACATATAGCAGAAAACCCAAAATCGTGTTAGATGTAAACCCCATCAGAACAGAAATCCACTTACTTTCCATTCAATGTATCAACGAACTGCCCCATAATCTGGCTGTTTTCCGAATCGGCTTCACCGAAACAAATGACATCGCACTGCACCTTCTCTTTCTTCAACTTTTTGGCAATTTTTGTCAGCTATATACAATAATACAAAAAATTAGTGCAACTTTGGATGGATAGGTTTTCTATAAGCTCACTTCAGCAGAATCAAGACCCTCAATGGGGCTCCCAATAAACATCACGATGCGCATCTTGTGATTCCTATTTTGGCGATGCTTCAACGCTAAATGAGCAATCTTGATTGCCGACATGAAATTGCACTGACCCTGAAAATAAGAGCAACTTTCCAAGTCTTTTTTCTCAATCAGAACAGCTATATCTAGTTAACTTGCGCG